GCGCATAAGTGTGTGTGTAGGACCTATAAGTATTGGTGATTTCCTATTGCTTAATCGATAAAGTAAGAGGAGGAGTAAAATAAACTGTATAATTAGGTAATTCCTGCCCTTTTCTGTTTATGGTACCTGAGTCCGTACTATAGCCAAAGGAATAGATAAGTAAAACAAAGGCTCACAAGAGCTTAACGGAAACCCAACCTTGTTTTTGTTTTCTTTTACACTACTTTTCTATGAATTATTGCTCTTTACCTCTAAGCATCAAATCCAAAAATTCAGTAGGCTTACATATTTCCATGTCTTTTTTTCCTAAGCATTATTTCACATGTGTGCTAAGAAAAGATAAAATAGCGTAGCTAGAGCAAACACTGAGTGACTCTCCAGTGGTGGTTCGAAGTTACTTTTGGAAACCACCTTGTCTTGGGTGAGAGCCAGAAGAATTTAGTACCACTTATGACATTTGAAGAAAGTAGAAGAAAAGCCATGTGTAAATCATAAAATTGGGAACATGTAGTAAGGGAGTAACAAATTTTGGTCAGACCCTTTAACTAAAGAATTATTTAGAAGAAATACAATTATTCACAGAGGTATAACAAAATCTAAGTTTGTCAAATCTAAGCATTTTTGATGTTAAATTTCACTGTTGGCCTTTTCTCTTGTCATAAGGAAAAAATTGTTATTTGACATTAGAGAACAAACATCGCTGACATTTGTATCTACCTAACAATGATATAGAAATTTAATTAGGAGCATGAGAGATTTTTTAATCTGGTAAATGTTACAAAAGCATTTCTTTAATAAAAATAATGAAAATAAATACACAATAAATACCTAGTATGTGTGTATACTTGTGTTTATATATTATTTGTAAGGTTTTAATATCAAAAAATGTATTTTAAAAATCATATTATAACATTTTAATTTGAAGGTATGATTTTATGATAGGCAAAAAATTAGTATACTTCTCTGGGGATACATCTATATTTGGAAATAATTTGGCTCATATTTCAGGCTTAATTAGCACATCAACTGTAAATCTCCATTGAATAAATCTAGCTATGAGAAATTCAAATCCATAAGAAGTCAATATTTAACTAAAATTTAATTAAATATAGCTTTATAAAACTTTAGTGTATTTTAAAAAATTAGTAGTCTTGAGAATCCATGTCTTCCCAACACCAATGATCGAGGCCCTTATTCATGGATACCTAGGTTGGCAGAACAATTTAACTTTCTGAACCCATCTTTTTGTATTTGTATTTGGTATTTGCTATTTGTAAGAATCATCTTTTAAAAAAGAGACCCTGGATATTGGACATTTTAAAATCTTTTGTCTATTGCTGATGTTGGAAAGATTAACTAATACTATGACATTCATTTATGTTTGTTTTTGAATTGAGGTCTGAAAAAACAGGAAATATGAATGTAATTTTGCAATAGCTCTGTCTTATAGCTATTGGGTATACTCAGAAAAGTCAGTTTAACATTTTTTAGTTTAATACCTGATGAGGAAAAAAGACATATCATTTTAAAAAGTCATAGAAAAGAAAATATATTAGAAATAGCATTAAGTCAAATGTAACTTATGCTAATCTACTCCCGTGCTGTGTACTCTTCAAGGTAGTAAATCATTGTGGAGAGACTTCCCCCTGTTCCTTTATTTCCCTCTACTCACTAAAAGTCCAAATGGTTCTTGTGTGTGATTTTTAAAGCTATTAACGCACAACTAGATTTAGTAGTACTTTGTGTTAACACTTCTGCAAAAGCATAAAATACAAACTCTTGATCAATATAACAAGAATACCATTTCTTATTATAGAACAAACAGATGAGCAAAACAAAATCCAACATCTAAGTACCAGAGAAAATAAATAGTACATTTGATCACATATGCTTTATAAAGAAGCAATCTGAGTTTGGAAATAAGCATTTCATGGATCAAACAATGATTTTCTTATATTTCTTTACTAAAATATATTAAAAGAGTAAAAATAACTATTTCCATGTAAAATGTGGAAAGTATGGCATAATTTCCTAGTTACTTTTAATGTATGTAATTATATATATCATATTGAATGACAGGGAAAAAACTGGCTAAATGTAGGACACTAACTTATGATACATTGGCTATCAAATTATTATTTTAATTATTGTTTTAAAAATTACTGTATGACATATCTAAAGTGTTCTCAGTCCTGGCTTATATAATTCAGAAAACACAGACTCAAGATGACTGTCAAGGACAACTCTGAATGTTAATGTTTCCATTTTCAGCCTCATGGCAGAGTTTTATTAACCAGTGTAAGCTCTGGAATGTCAAAGGCGTGATAGGCAGTATAGACTCCACACACAAAATAGATGCATAGTCATTTTATCCTAAATTGCTTCACTTGAAAATGTAGCGTGAAAATCTAGAGAGAGGAAGTAAAAATAAGTGATTTTATAGTGTTCTAAAATGTTGAGGCTTGAAAGCTAAAAGGCCTAGGATAAAAATGTTCATGCATTTGAGATTATGATTCAGCTACTCTAATAAGTTCCCCTACACCTGCCATAGGGTTTGAATAAATAAGAGCAAGACAGACAGATGCCAAGTGTCATTGTTTTCCAAGTAGGGACATTTGTTTGCCAAAAAGTAACAGGCCATGTCCCAAACCTTTTTCTACTTTTTTTGTGTTATATAACAAAATGTTCTAAGGAAACTATTTGGCTAGAAGTTTTAGATACCTATTCAGAAAAATCCCAGTAATGATTAGAATAACAGGGTAAGGTCTTGGGGGATCTAGAGCTTTCAGGTAGGATGCCTTGGTTCTAAAGCAGCCTCCTCTGTTTACTCCTCTTCTGTTTGCTCTCAATTTATTCATCTGCTCATCCCTGTTTATCTTTAAAAAAAATTAAACCATATTTTAAAAAAGATTAGAAGTACTGTTTGTGACAGCCTCATTTAATTGGTGAAAACAACATTTTCAGAGTCACATTTGTAAGTTAGAAAACTAGGATTTGAATTATTCCGGTTTTATCCCAACATTCAGTTGAGGAAAAGTGGTTATTTTCTGCTGAAGTTGGTATAATTATAATTACACTAAAAATAACTAACTCCTCCTGCTATATTATATTTATTTATTTATTTTCTTCTTTATTTATTTAGTTTTATCTTTTTCCAGCATATTATGGGAGTACAAATGTTAAGGTTACATATATTTCCCTTGCCCTCCCCTCCCCCCTTGAGTCAGAGCTTCAAGTGTGTCCACACTCATTATGTATTTATATACCTATTCCCCTCACCTGCCAGACACTTGATAGATGTTATTCCTATATGTCTTACTTATGTGTTGATCAGTTAATACCAATTTGCTGGTGAGTACATGTGGTGCTTATTTTTCCATTCTTGGGATACTTCACTTAATAGAATGGGTTCTAGCTCTATCGAGGAATATACAAGAGGTTCTATATCACTGTTGTTTCTTATGGCTGAATAATACTCCATGATATGCATATACCACATTTTATTAATCCACTCATCTATTGATGGGCACTTGGATTGTTTCCACATCTTTGCAATTGTGAATTGTGGTGCTATAAACATTCTAGTGCAGGTGTCTTTTTCAAAGAGTGACTTTTGTTCTTTTGCGTAGATGCACAGTAATGGGATTGCTGGATCAAATGGCAGATCCACTTGTATCACTTTAAGGTATCTCCATATTGCTTTCCACAGAGGTTGAACTCGTTTGCAGTCCCACCAGCAATTTAGGAGTGTTCCCATCTCTCCACATCTACACCAATATTTATTGTTTTGGGACTTGTTAATAAAGGCCATTCTCACTGTAATCTTTTTGCAATCAGGAAGGACCAAATATGATCCGTGTATATATTGTCCTCACCCTGCCCCCCATGGCACCATTTACTTGACAAATGTTTAATGCTCTTTATTTGCTTGGAATATGTAATGAGAAGTACAGAAAATGTCTCTGTTCTAGTGGATCTTATATTCCAATAAGAGACAACAAATGATTAAATTAATAAGTAAGAAAATGTCAAGTAGTGACAATTTTATGGTTTATAAAATAACAGAAGTAAAGAATAACTATAGAACAACTTTAGCTAGCATGCTCAGGAAAAGCCTCTCTGGGTAGGTGACACTGAACACCGAGTCCCAAATGATAAGAAGGAGAGATCATTTAAAGATCTGAGGGAAAAGCAATTCAGGCAAAGAGAATCCCTTGATACATTTGTGGAAGAGAGAGAAAGCAAGTATACATAGTAAAAGCAAGTATACATAGCAAGAAAACATAGTGTGAGAGGTTAAGAATAGTATGCAATTAGAATGGAGAGGTAGGCAGGTGCTAGATCATATAAAGATTTCAGGTAAGGAAGTTCAATTTTCCTTCTTAGTGTGATGGGATTCCACTGTTTTTTTATACAGTGGAATGACATCTGATTTATAGTTTGAGCAGAAGAGAAGGACCCAGTAAAGGAGCTAAAACACAGCACATTAGGTAGGAGGATAATCAGGAGAGGGTGGTGCATGAGGATGCTAAGAATGAAGGAGTGGTCAATTAGGTTAGTAATCAAAATGTCAAGTAAGTTGTTATTAACAGTTGGCTATTGGATTTGCGAACCTGAAAGTTGATAGTGACCTTTACAAGAGATGTTTCAGTGGCAGAGTGGGCAATATGAATAGTAGGGTAAGTGGAAAGGGTAAATGCAGCAAACACAAAGTAAAAACAATATCCAATAGGCGAGTAGAACGATGGATTTGTTGGGTCAAGAGAGTTTGTTCTATTTGTATGTCAATGGAGAACTTCAGTAATTAAAGATCTTGAAGATGTCAAATTTGCTGAACATCATAGCAGAAAATGTGCTTGGAATGGTTCTAGTTTAATAAAAAAATTGCACTACCCAAGATGTGTAAGAAATAAATCACACACATTCAGAAAGAAATGTTTTAAACATCCATATCAGACTATTATTTTAATTTTATTTTTAAACATTTTTTTATCTTTCAGGTGCTTCAAGAAGATCTAGAACAAGAACAAGTCAGGGTCAATTCTCTCACTCACATGGTGGTGGTAGTTGACGAATCAAGTGGAGATCATGCAACTGCTGCTTTGGAAGAACAACTTAAGGTCAGATTTGGTTTAATAACTAAATATGTCCTTCCAAACAATTACAATTTGAAAAGTATTTAAAACATGTAGAATGTAATTTATATATTACACATACATAAAATGCAATATATTTATTAAAACTAATTCAAATCATTTCATATTTGTGCATATTTCCATTTCATTAACTGTATACTAGTTTGTTTACACTAGTTTTCTGACCTTTATGGAAATATACAAATGCAGATCCACATTTTTTTATTATACTGAAGAGCATGTATTAGAGAAATGGTCTGAGGAATATTACTTGTCCTCTTCAAACCTAAAGTCTAAGAGAAGACAAAGGTAAAAACACAAGAACAATGACATTCAATTACATAAGGAAAAAAGAATGCCTTCAGTATATTTATTCCTTGAAGCCTTCATTTGTAGTCCTGATGAGGGCATGTCAGGATGTTTAAGTCATGGAAGTCTGGTTGGAGTAGATATTTAGCCTTTCAAGCCCTTTTTCAACCTAATTTATAGTAATTGTGTTTTTGAAAACTCAACTAGTACCTATTAACTAAATATAAAGTGGATATTTTAATATTTTTATCTTTTCTTCCAAATGGGCAGTTTTACTGTAAATATATTCAATAAGTTATATATACTCATACTAAAACATCAACATTAAGGGAAAACAAAACAATTTATTCTGGATGATTACACATAAAATCATAAACATATATCATTTAACTACAGATTAAATTTGAGACATTCATTTTGTCCACCAAATGCTTGCCTTTCCTTAGTGACAGGAACAACAATACTGATATGTCTAAGGATCCAATCAATGTGGGTTTTAATGGCTTTATCTGCCCGAAGTGATTCTAAACATAGTTTCTCCTACCTAACCTATAACACGCTTTCTTAAAGCCTTATCTCTGCTTTCTTTACTTTTTGTGTGAAATGTCTTTTTTTTTATCCCAGTGAAATGTCATTTCCTCATGTTACTGCTTTAGAGTGCTAATCTCCAACAATGTTATCTCACTCTTCATCATTAAATGACAAAGGGGAAAACTCTTGAACTAACAGATTGGACACTGCTACAACCGAACATTTAACATATACTGACAACCCATATTAATTGCATATGTTTCAATGGAATTACAAGCATCTAAAAAGGCTTATGACATCAGATATTATAATATTTCATTATATATGATTATTTATATTACACATACACACACCAGCTAACGTGCTGTGTTTTAAGGAATTCCATAGTTCTGATATAATAGTAACTATTTAAAGATGGGTAAAATCTAACACTCAATGTTTCCCAGAAAATTTCAGAAACAATAAAAGAATGTTGGAAATCAGGGGTTGCAGGAGGGTAACTGATTAAAAAAAGACTTGAAGCAAACATTTTAATAAGTCATAGAGTATTTTCAGTTAAAAGAACAACTGAAAAACATCCACTTTAGCTTTAACTGACCCAGTACAACAAGCTTTTTAATATAATTATTCCAAGGTGATGCTTGTGCGACTAAGTCATTTTGAAAAATGGTCCACAGGACTCACAGATGGTCACTGGGTTAGATCTTAGGTAAGATAAATTGGGAATGGTGGGCGTAAGCCAATTTATATTCATTATCCTACTTGCTTTCATTTTTATCTTATTTTCTGTTTTTATTTCATTGGCCCGAAAACATCTGCTAAGATAGATGTGCATTTATTGGTTATCTCTAATTCACAGAAACTCAGTCTGCAATTTTCCATGATTGCCTCCTCCTTTTATGGTCATTCTTTTTCAGCCTCCTTTTTTCTCCCAAACTCCATTACCCCTTTTGATACTCTCAATTTGCCTCTATATGGCTCCTTACTGTCACCCGATTTTTAGATAATCTAGACTAATGTCTAAAAGGGCAGACTTAAAAGGAATCAAATGGAAAGAAAACCCCTGCTATATCTCTTCTTTCTTCCTATTTCATCACTTTCCTCAGTCCCAAAGGAATGCATGCTTTAATTTTGTACCTTATTTAACCATTGGCTGGAATTGCCCTGGAATGCACTGCTTTCATTTGACTTTGAAATATAGATGATTCTTTCTTAGGCTCTTTGCAAGTGAGATAATCTTGTTTTACATAGTTTAATCTTTAACAGCAAGGGGAAGAGCAAGAGAAGATGGTAAAGAAGAAGGAAGAGAGGAGAAATAATAAAGTATACAAAGATGATGAATAAAGTATTCAAAGATAGATCAATTTAAAGCAACATAGATATCCTGGACACATGATAAGAATTCCATACTCACTTCAGAGACTGTGAACTATATAATATGTTTCATAGCAACCCAGAGGTATTCTGGTAGAAGTAATTGGAATAATTACAGGAAAGAGAAACAGGTATTTAAACAACATACAAACAAACAAAGTCAAAAACCTGAGAGGGATCCTTGGAAGTTTTATTGGAACAATGTCTGGTCATCCACAACTTATTTCTGAACATTTCTTAGTGTTAAGTGCTCATCTCATCCCTTCTTTTCCTCCTCTATGGTCTCTCACATTACCACAATATCTTCATCCATTTGCTCCAATTCTGTTGTAGTCCTATCCAGAAGCTCAAAAAGGATATACAGTTGTCATTAGTAAAGAGACACACAAGAGGAAAACTAGGAAAGGAACTCTTCCATTTAGTACAATAAGAAAAAGATGCATACTTATCCCAAATTACAACTCTAAAAATACTTCTCAATAGAATCAGTATGAAGATCACATGTACTGATTTATTCTATGAACTCTGTTATTATCATATTGTGTTATAATTTCTCTAACTTTAAAAGACTTTTAGAAGTCTTGTTTTTAAAAGGTTTGAAGAAAAAGCAAAGATAGGCCAGAACATATGTTTAGGGATTCTAAAAGATGGCATGGCTTATAAAGGATAAGATTCTGAAAAATGAAGTCTGTTGTAAATTAATTTGATTCTCTATCTCAGAGGTTCAGCTTGTCCCTCAGCAATGTCACCACAGGTCAGAGTCTTGTCCTTAACTTGAAATATTTCTGGGATATCAGTTCCCAGAGAGCCTGATTTATAAACAATAATGCCAGTTACCTAATTTTATTGAGAAATGTCTTTGCTAAATAACTAAAATTGGTAATTTATGTAGTCTTCTGTCCTGAAGGACATTATCATATCTCTTTTGAAGCATTCCACATCTTATTTTTTTCAACATGTACTTGTTATATTCTATTCTATTGTTATATTATATTCTATTCTGTACTTGTTATATTCTATTCCTATTATATTCATAGGAATTCTATAATTCCTATGTTTTAGGAATTATACTTAGTAAGGATTAAAACAGTGGAAAAGAAGAGAATTTTTCACTAATTTCCTTGCTTGGGATAGGTAATTTGTGAGCCTGCTGCCTTCCTTGGAACATTGGAACAATGGTGGCCATTCCTCAGGCTCCTTCTTTGGAATTGAATGCTATTGGTAATTTCAATCTAGTAGAGGAAAGAGACATTAATAAAATACTTACAAAAAAGAGCAAATATTAAAGAATGGACACAACTTATTTCTGAAGGAAAGGGATAAGGTTTTGTGACAGAAAATAAATCTGACTTAAACTGAAGTTTGAAGGCATGGTATGATTCCTGAGGAAAGTAGTGTTTAAAGTAGAATCTAAAGAATATATTGGAGAAAACTGGATAAAATGCGTATGTATAAAGGATTCGTGAAGGGGGATAGAGTTATTAGGAAGAGGAAAGGGCAGATCAAGTGAGTGTGGTACCCTCAAAGAACTGAGAGAGGGTACTTTGGCTACAACATTGAGGTTTAGAAAAGTGATGCTAGAGGTTTGGCAAGTAAACAGGGGTTTACCTAAAATTATAATCAGTGTGCAATACTAAACTTTACCATAATTCCTTCAGTTAACAAATATGTTGAGTAGTTGTTCTCTGCCAGGGCAGCAGCTAGGATTATAATGGTTGGGGATGTTGAGAAGCAGGGGCAACAGTCATGATGTTTGCCCTCCTGGGCCTGCACTAAGAAAATACAATTAAATATAAAGTTATGGCCATGATGAGATCAATGTGGCAAAAATACACATTAATAGATGACCTCTCATGTTCTACAAGGTGAGAAAATGCCTCCATACATGCCCTTCAATGAAATCTGACAATTTAGTAGAAATTAATTAGGCAACACTAGAGAGGAGGAAAATATTCTGGATGGAATAATATTTATCCATTCATTCAACAAATATGCATTGAGTGCCTAATAGGTGTCAGCCAAAAGTCTAGGGTTTAAGGTTAAGTTATGGAAAAATACAAATTGTTCTTCTATAAGGCTTACGTTGCTAGCAATATCATAAGTAAGTGTCATACCATGAAAAACTGATAAGAGCAATAAGGAAAAAAAAAAAAAGACCAGTGAAGAAAGCAGTTTTACATGGTTTAGTCAGGGGAAGACTCATTGAGAAAGTGGCATTTGAACAAAAACTAGAACAAGGTAAAGGAGTTATTTTAGAGGCGAAAAGGTCCTATGTGTCCTTTTGCATTTAGAAAACTGAAAAAAAGACTGTTAATGGAATATAAAGCCCATTATTCTAGGGAGATAGCTGTTTCTAATGAACAAAGAACCAGAAAAGTGGTTTAGGTCCATAAGTTATAGAAGATGCTCTAATAAAAACTCTTCCAGAGAAAAGGCAGAGCCATTAAAATCTCATTTTTAGATATTTGTCTGTACAAGTTAAAACTTGAGAGCCCACCAAATGTACTAAAGGTTTCTAAGGCCATAGACCTAGAATAGTTTCCGGCATATAAAAAGCCCTTGAATTATTTTGTTAAATGACTTTAATCTTGAAGTTATTGTCTACCATTTTGGAGAATTAAAAGTATATTCAAAGAATGGATAAAGATGAATATCCTATTTTTAAGAAGGAAAGCGTGGAAAACACAACTTTAGAGTAGATTATTAAATGTAAGGTCATGCATACTACTACATTTCGGTGCCCATCTCATTGAGTTAATAAACATGTTTAT